AAGATTTTTAATTTCGGAAAAACTAGTTAATTTCTTTGTTTATAGGTGGTTTTAATTAGTTTTAGTGATAGGAATTCTGTGTTCTGTATATAGTTTGGTGCGTCTCGTTGAGGCGCACCCGAGAGTAGCTTAGTTATTTGTAAATTTTGTTTAATTTGTAAGTAATTAAGTTTTTTATAGGTTATAAGTAGGTTTAATTAGTTATAGTTAGGGAAGGATACTTTAATTTTGTTTTTATTGTATATAGTTCGGTGCGTCTCGTTGAGACGCACCCGTTGTTGGTTTTATTTTTGTAAATAGTTAAGTTATCTTAGATTTAGGGTATTTTAAGTCGCTTTTAGGGGCGTGGTCTGTGCACTTTGTGTGCCGACTGCGTTTCGAAATGAATGCGGATAAGGGAGTTGTGAGCGAGTCGGAGGATGGCATATCGATGTCTGGATCCGAGGATGAGGGTGCATATGGGCACCAGGAGGGCGCTGTAGGCGCGTCGAAGCCCGGGTGGCGGGCTATCGATATTGATAGTGGTGAGCCGTGTAAAAGCGGCATCACGCTTAGGTTCCCTTCTGGAGCCACACAGAAGAGGCCCTTAGCGGTGTCGGCGACAGAGAAGGCGGCCCCGGCTGTGGCGCAGAAGGTGGCCTCCTCGGCATCGAGGGGTCGTGTTCGGCGCCCGGCCGGTGCATATGCCTATCTCAAAGAGGCCCAGGAATACCTGGCTGAGGGTGGGGAGAGCGGGGGGGAGGGCTCCGACCCCTCGTACCGCCCAAAGGGGAGGGTGGCGCGCCCGGTGCTCGCGGATGGAGCGGATGAGGAGGCTCCTAGTGCCCTATCGGTTGGGACGGTGGAGACTCTAGCCGCAGAGGCCCTCTTCAACGTGGCCGTAATACAGGGAGAGGTGAAGAAAAGCGGCCACCTTAAGGGGACAGTGTGGGGCCAAATTAATAAGGCCTCACAGGGCGTCATCGATGCCGTTGAAGGCCTCCGGGCGATGACGCCCGAGGTGGAACAGCGCAGGCTCCGTGCGGACAACGCTCGTCTAGCGCGAGAGCTGGACCTTGTCCGTGCGGAGCTACGCGCCTTTAAGGCGGCCTACACGGAATCGCAGCAGAGATCTGCTGAGGCGCTGAGGGTAGCGGTGGAGCCGCCTCAGC